TATATATATATATATATATAACACCTAGCAACAAGAAAAAAAACTGCATTCAAAACTTCAAGTGAACAATACCATTTTTAGGTGATTCAATCATAACTAATTCAACAATCTTTTTACAACAGCAATAAAAATGTTCATTATCTTCCACAATTAATTCAAACAACACCTGCCATCATACAGACATACAGCACTTCATTTTATTGTTTCTCATTGAGATATTTTTAATTCCAAAAATGTAATATCTTCAGTGTTCTATTACATTCCAGAAAAATGTATGGCAATTAAATGCATCTCTTAATAGTTTACTATTAAATATTTTCACCTATTTAAACAATTTTTCTCTATTCTTTAAATTTACCACTGACTTACAGTATTTTTTTTTTTCATGTTTAATTGTGTGAAATATGAATGCACATAAAATTGAAAACATCAAGAACACAATATATAGTACTATTAATTCTGATGCAAATAATGTTGAAATGTTAATTTACTCTCATTACAAACACTCATCTCTAAATTTAAAACGCCTTTTACCAAAAATTTTATCTTCAAATCCCTTTCATCTAATAAATTATTTTTTATATTATTTGTAATTTTAAAATGGGACAACAAAAATTAGATGTTAAGGACAATGAGAAACTAGAAAAACTATATAACATACAAAATTGGTGCTTTCCACATATCAATACAATAATTGCATTATATTGTAAATATATCACTATAATATATTATATTGAAAGTTTGGAGTTTCTCATTAAAGTAACAGTAGCAAAGAATTCCAAATTATTTGTATACTAAATGAAAAATCACAGGTGGCTTTTAGGTTATGCTAAAATAAAATAATTAAACATGGTAGTTTGTCTCCCTAATAAGGTATTAATCCATGAACTAATGACAATTCCAAAAAAAATATTTGGAATTAAGAGCTCTTTCGAAATATCGAGCTGCAAAGAAAAATAGTATAAAAAAGTTCTAATACAAATAAGTTTTTCATAATGAATTACCTCTAGATCCTTGGATTCTCGCTCTGAATTCATGTCCGTACCGGTGTCAGTTTAGTGGCCACCGATTTCTCTCTAACTTATGCTTTTAGCATTTGGCAGGAAATTACAAACTACAACACGCAGTAAAAGTTCACTAGAAATTCACACATAACCTCTTTCCACTTGACATACAAATTATAACTATAAGTCTCGGAGCTATAAAATGTTCATTTTTCTGTTACAAAGAAGAGAATGAGGTATAAAAAATCTCTAAATATAAAGTGTCTTTTATTGAAAATTAAAACTACTTGTTTCATCACACGTACGCCACATACGAAGTTTCCATACAAGAAATTGCCGGCAAATGTGAAGAACAAACTAGCCAACCCCGTTAACTTTGGCGGGTATATGAAATTTGACGATCAATTTTATTTTAAAATAATTTTATTAAGATTCTGGAAGAGCCTTTCAACATATTTGTTTTTATGTGATAAGGTCAGACGTGTCCACGAGCGCGAAGTTTTGGTTTGGATAAATGACACTATTCCAAAAGCAACCTTGATGTATTCTACGTAATATTAGATTTAAAACATTCAATAGGCAGTAACAAACGATGTGCTTCAACAAAAAGGCTTTTGATGTGACAGTGATATAGAAACGCCCTTCTATTAAACAGAAAACGAATTTTATAATAGAATACTTTTATAATTTAATAATATTGTTTGATTTATTCATTGTTTCACAATAATTTAAAATCTGCAAAAGTCTAATAATACGCTTCGTAACTTTGTAAAGTAATTTATTGTCTTAGAACTAAAGTCTTCTCCTAATGAGAAGGTAAGCTCCAAAGGCATAATTCGCATAAAACAGCACGATCCTTCTCGCCCGTATTTTCACGCTAAAGTACGCGAAAAGTACTCGTACGCGTAAAGTTTCGAAAAAGTGTGCATGACCTTATTTTTGAATTAATATTTACGGAACAGATTTTATTAAAGGAAAAATCTGTCTTTAATATTTTAGTTAGAGGAAGACTCCGAAAAACTTTGAACTTTTGCAATTTTCGCAAAAAACATTTTTCAACGATCATGGGATCTGCACCATTCTCGTAAATGCCCTTCACACTATCCAACAACAAAATTTAATCAAAAGCGATGGAGCCTCTTTTTTCAATTTTGTAACACTCTCTGGAGCTTCATGTAAAGTACCCCCCAAAATTAAGTTATCGTTTTCAAATTTCAGGAGCCGCGACATCATCCAGATCGATTAGGGAATACTAATTTTGGCTGAACGGGTTAGCCGATACCGTTCTTTACAGACGGACGGAGAGACGTTTTGCAGTTATTCGATTTTTCGGTATCAAGAACCCACAAAACATGGGTTCTGGCTACACCACGTACTAGAGGATTTTCCCCCTAAATTTAACAACTGGGTTTATCCACATTTGTTATGTAAGTTTTCTGTCGAAAATTCCCCGTTTTTTCGGGCCTTGCATAACTTTTTCTCTACTCTCTAGCGAGGAAGTAAAAACCGAAAGCAGTGTATAATAATAGCAACTCATAACTTCAAATTCCGAAATCAACAAAATAATATTTTAATCTCGTTACTTTCACACAACCATTTATGATTATTGTGTAAGTTAATGAATATTGAAACGATTGACTTCTATTTATGTATTTAATCTTCAAAAAAAGTGCAACGAATGGGGAGACGTTATTTGTAACTACAATATTTTTTGTAGTCGTCGTTTAGGTCTCCAAAAGAAGTATGTATCGTATTGGCGGCGAATATTGAAATTACAACAAATTATAAATTAAGTCAACACTACTCGAACATTTATTTAACTTCAACATACTATTTTTTGACTTTCGTTGAGAAATATATTTTATAAGACACGATACATTAAACTCGGACCACGTACTTTCTTTAAATAGTACCTCGAAAAGAACACTTCCTTAGAACCCTATGGCTATAGTACAAACTTGGTTAATATACCGCGTTGCAGATGTCTTATCGTGTATACATCCCAAGGACCAGTTCCAGTTACGATTGTGCCCTTTCTCACCTCCAACTCTATTAAAAACGCTCTCGACTTCATGCAGTTTGTGACGCCAACCGAGCGACTATTTAGGCTGTACGAATTGACTACTTCAGAGACGATGTTTCGCCCACGCGGTATACGTGGAAGCAGGGAATACTTATCTTTCGCATCCGCAACGTCATCAGTGGCGGATCCAGGGCGTGAGAGGGGGCGCATGGGGGCCATGGCCTAGAATTTTCGTTTGTTGCCTTCTTTTATTTGACAAAATCGATTTAAATATCAATTAGAATTATGAAATTATTTTAAAATATTGTATAGTATCATATATACACTATAAAATTAATGTGCAATATAATAAATGCTTATTATGAAATAATCTGTTTTGGCTCCCTTCAAAATGATCGCCTACATTGAGAAGGTCCAGCAAATCTAGATGCGTGTAGCATGTGTTAATACATAGCACCCTCTAGTACTCGCAACTAGAGGAGGCTGTGTTTAATAACCTCATTTAATCTCGTGTAATGTTACTTTCGAAAGTTCAGTCAAAGAGAGCTAAAGCTCCGGTCCAATTTTTAATACGCCAACGCCTGAAACGTACTGATGGTACGTTATATTGGTATAATGCGTGTATCTACGAATACGGACTATTCAGACCAACGTTTTTGATTGGGCTGGTAAGAAGCGAATCTCAAACGAATATCATTTTAACAAATGTAATGTTAAAATGAATGCCTAGATTTTGTTATATGATGCGAGTTCAACAAGGCTGGTATCAAAGTTCGACGCCCAGCGAGAGCAAATCTACGTTTTAAATTGTTAAAGAGAGAGGCCATAAACATGTGCGGGATAGATGGAAATTCTGGTTACATAGAAGGTAATGTTCGTAAGTGAAAGACTAAAATCAATGCAAACTTTATTCTCTTTCAGAGGGGTCTAAAAAGTCGGAAGACGTCTAAGCATGGACGGAGGATCAAAAAGACAAAACATTGATACAAGTAAATATGACGAGGATAGTGACAAAAACCATGATTATGAAGATTTTACGGAATAAAATGAAAGTTCAGCAATAAGACTATATTCTCGTCAACTATGCAATTTTCTACTCAAAAAGACAATTAGCAATTTCATTTTGACAAAATAGTAAGAATCAGTCAAAAATTTAAAAACTTCTCAGGCCTCTTCAAAATTAGGGGATGTCTCATATTCTGTCTTCCAAGTTTGCTGGTAAAATGGAACAGGTATAGGCTGTTGTTGCTCTTTCCTTCTTCATCATCATGAACATGATTATTAAAATAAACAGACTCGCCATCCAAAATTTGAAGGAGTTAAGAACATTTTTCAGAAAATTTAAGATATGTACAACCTCTAGATTAATCCTTCGACTGCTCTAGACGAGTTGATACACAAAATAATTCCGTGTGCAGTAGTTTCTGGACGAGTTATTATGCTCTTGTCACGTTGGCGCTGGGAGCTTCTGGACGAGATTGTACACAGAATAGCTATGTAACGGGAGCCTCAGGGCGAGTTTGCTTGTGCAGACACACTTTCGGCTACCACTAGGACTTACTGATAACCAAGATGTCTAGTACGGTATCTATGTGCGAGCAAGTTCAGTTCACAACGTGGCCCACACCAAGAAGCTTGACGCAAGAGGCCAGACCCCACAGCCGGCCGTAGCAGTCTAAGGGTTGAAGTTATGGATTTCATAAAACAATCTCAGGAGAATTCCAATAAATTCTCATTAATTAAAATATTCGTAATTTTCTCAAGTTGGCACTTAATCTTGCACCCAAAACATATATGGAGGCCGAGTGTAATTAAGGAGGACATAAAAATCACTTTTTCTTTATGATAGTATTCATTAATAATTTGCCAAGAACAAAGATACAAATATTTTTACAGGCTAACGTTTAAAAAATAGAGCATTTTTTCTTGATTAAGTGAAGAGTATCAGCTAATAAATGAACCACCAGCTGACCAAGAAGACACATGACCTCTAGAAGAGGCTAAGCTTTCAGAAAGTGCTCTGGGATACACATCCGATTCAAAGTCACGAGTCATAATAGGGAAGTACTGCACATAACCACCAGACCATGCCTGAAACATAAAACATAAATGTTATACGAAATACGTACTTTACACAAAATATAAACTGCAGTTAAATTAACCTGCGTGTTTTGTAAAACAACATTCAGTATTTTGCAAAAGGCAGAATCAGGCATAAGAAGTCTATTTTCAGACATTAAAATTTAATCAAGAAAAATGAGTTTCATTTCTTGTTAAAAAATAATTTTAGTATATCAAAGCCAAAATGTGAACATTTTTAGTTGTGACAAACCGGTAAACACAAACACTTGTTCATTCAACATTTTTCACCACCAGCCAGAATGTCCAAAGTCGCAAAACCACCTCTTTTAAAAACTTCTCATTTTAGCCATCTCTCCAACAATCAACCTCTGAACCCATCCTGCCAACAGTCATTCATCGTAGTTTCTCTTCATAAATGGATCTCCAAAATTATATAAGCAAACACCAAAGAGAGGCCAAGCTCCCTGTACTTCTGGCAGTTGAGTGCACGTAAGCATACACCCTGAGCAACATATCCTCTGAGGAGCTGTGAATCTACCCCGGAAAAGATGGCATCCCATGATAGCAGGGAGGAGACAGTGCCACTGATTATGTTAGCTCAACTTTCCTGATCCATCCTCATTCCTTCTCTCTCTTTCTCTCTAGGAGAGTTCTCTTTCCGAGCTCCCTCCCCTCTCCTACTTATGCACTTATCAGAATAAAAAGCTTAGATAAACTTCTATTTACCATTTAACTCAAGCCCCCTCCCTCCATCGACTAAGTAAATATTAAATCATCCAGCGTTCCCAAATGATACGCCTCCCTACGATGCTCAAATCAGCTTCCAAAAGACGCTCGTACAACATGGTGAATGACAAGTCCAAAAATATGTTTTGGCAAAAGTGTATGCCACTTTTTTTTTTCTCTTACCTCCTTAAGTAGCCATTTCTCTACTGTAATAAAGCAAACAAGAATTTTCTTTCTACTAATGTACATACAACTACTTTTGTATTGTACACAAATTGCAAGTGTTGCTGGACTCAATGTCATTGCTGTCATGTTCAATGGTTACCACAGATTGCTGGTTATCTTAATGAGTATTGGACTGTGCTCTGAGAATTATTTAATATCACATCGTATGATTTTACAAAACTAGACTGGTTAAAAGTCTAGACTTAAAAACCTCCACTTTGTGGATAATTACCAGTACAGAAATGGCAGCTTTAAGAAGAGAGTGTACAAAAAGAATCTTTTACAGGATACTGGGGAGTCCTTTCTATATTATTAAGATAGATCATTATACAAACTAACAATTGTTAAAAGAGCTCCTTCTTTGAAATTGGGTTGGAAGCATATGTTGCTTGGCGTTTCTCCTGCGCGACCACGAATTAAACAGCTGTAAACAAAAAAAGTAGTCATTTCATTGATGTTACCGTACTTGAGAAACACTGTTAGAAATCAAAAATGTTATTGCTATATTTAAACTTACCAAGGTAGTATGTGCAAACCGTGATCAACTCTGGTTCTATAAACTGCAATTATGTTGCAAGATTTGAACATTATTGCCAAGTAACGACTTGTATGATCCCAAGTCAAAGAGGAGACCAGGCCACCCAATCTGAAATCATCAAATGGATTACAGCAACCAGCATAAAAATTATCCATTTTTCTCAGCATGTAAGAGGTAAATATGGTCAAGTCCGATTTTACTAATAAGGAGTAAATGAAAACTGAAGACCAATATTTCACTTTAGAATCAATTAGATTCACTTCTTTTCAGAATGAATTGGTGATGCCATAAATACTCTTAAAATATTGCCATTTACTACATAAACAAGCAGACCAAAAATTGTAATTAGTTATTATTGAAAAGTTAATTGAAATGGACTAATGACTGATAACTTTTCAGTTACTCATGCATTAAATGCAATTTCTTGACACACATTGAGTTTTAATACATCAATATATTTTTCTTCCACTGAACAGATTTCCAACTGCTAATATATTGGTTATTTGGGAATCTACAACAAACTACATTAGTACGTGTCTTCTGTGTAGTATGCAATCTACAGTTTTTATTTCTCACATTTCCCATGAAAACAATATCAACTAATTACTAGAATGGTTGAAAATATTTTAAGAAAAGCCACAAATTAATGTGGATATAATATTAAATTATTTGTGTAGAGATCTTTAGTGAACTTTAACACTTTCACAGTTGTTTCCCCTAACATGCTCATTAAAAAACTTACGCAAAATTCTTAGGTTAAAACGCAAGATAAGTCCTCACCTTTCACCAGTTGGCAGTTCTGTTGCAGTTAGGTCAAGCACTCGCTGGGCAGTAACAGCAGGTAGACCCACCTCTTCCCGGAAAACAGTTTGATTGTTGAAAAATGCTAAAGAATAGAGGCATGGTTCTTCTGTTGTAGCAAACAGCAAGAGATGGCCATCTGCACCCCAGCAGGCAGATTGCACACGGCCAGACTGCACAGTCCAGCGCTCAAATTTCCACCGCTTAGTTTCCCATACCCTGCACATAACATTAATTTATTTTACTGTTTTCATGCCACCCATGTATGTAATTACATATTATATTAATTGGAATCAAAAAAGCAAACTCAGCATTAAAAAAATTGCTGGTTGGGATAAAATGAAAGATTTACCTATATAAGCAAAACTGGGTAACATTCATGATATCAAGTTAACACTTTGCACTTTAAGGGATTTCAACTGAAACACACACCTCACATTGGAATACGTTAATCATGACAGCCTACCCTAAGGCTCCCCACTTAAATGTGTTGGGTACAATGATGGTTGGATGGCAATTGAAGGATGACCATACAATTAACAATTAGTTTTACAAAAAAGATACCTTTCACTAGTTTGTAATTACAGTTGCTTTAAAAGGGAATATTTCCTCTAGCTAAATACAATGTACTTTGAAAAAGAAGACAAATCTTTTCTTACATAATCTTCAATATTTATCCTTGATCTTCTCTAATTTATCCAACACTGCAATGCATATCACGTCATTGACAATGTTCATGGATTTCAATAAGTACCTTAAGATCAAAGTAAGCCCATCAAAATAAAAAAAATAAAACTAATCAAAACAATAAATTAAAAAAAAAATGGGCAATATGTTGTATTTGATATATTTATCATTTCTGTAGAATTTTTATTTAAAAATCCACGATACAATCATCTTGGCCTCATAATTTGATTCAATTTTCACATCTGTTTTTTCACAGTTTTGATACAATAGTAGATGATGTTTTCGTGCAATCAAATAAATACTGTAGTCAAAGTGGTATTATAAAGATTGATAAGGCTTGATAAAAACCTTTACCTTTTCTGTAAAAACCAGAATTGAACAAAAACAGACCTTGGTATCCACTTACATATTACAATAACAAAGAGCAGCGAGTAAGATACAGAGAAAAAAAGAAAAATAATAATAATAATAATAAAGAAGAGGAAAATAAATAATCCTTTGCAAGTACAAATAGAGAGAGAGAGACACACACAGCAAGTGGGGAAATAAACACATCAGTGTTTCCTTCTTAATACAAGCAGTACATAATCCCTTTACTATTTTGACCTCAAAAGCAAACATTCTGGAATAAAGTGATTTTTGCAATTTTCAAATTTCATCAAAGCCCATTTATAACTGACTGGAACTTTGTACACATTTCTAATACTTTAAGCACTGTTGTGGACTTGGAAGGAATTAGCAACATCTGTGAAGAGAGTCAATTGCAATTTCTGACAGCTGGCTAGAGGGCTAATATGTTCAAGGTCTAAGGCCTGGAGTAATTGGAGGGCCACCTTCAAGTCAGGCTGTCAAATTATAAATCTCCAACCCAATCACAACTTACAGTATTTTGTCACATGCAATACACAGAAATATTCTCAGCATTTCAACTCCCTTTAAGCAACTTTTGGGAGTTTTAGAAGTGCAAGTACAAAAACTGCTGCGCAGTAACAGTGTTTCTCAAGAAAGTGACTTCCAAACCATTTGTTTATATAATTAAGGAGGGGATGGTGGCATCTTTCTTTTCATAATAAATAAACAGCAGGAGGACGTTACTGACCAATATAAGTCCAGAATTACAACCAGAAGAATGCTTTGGAAAATTGTATACCTATGAGTAGATTCACAGAAATTGCTTTAATGTACTATTCACAAAATAAAATTAAACTGTTAAAAAGTTGCTACCTCTTACCATCATAACATTCATAATTCATTTTTAAAAGCAACCCTTGAAAAATAAAAGATGTAAGAAAGCATACCTGAAAACTAAGCCCATTGTGGATGTAAAGACTCGCTGTCCATTTGGTGACCAAGCCGCAAGACAAGACCCTCCACCTGCTACATGTCTCAGACAAGTGCTGCGCTCAGTATCCGGATCCCAGACATACACACCAGTGTCAAGAGGAGATACGCTAAGCAGGAGATCCCCAGCAGGGCTCCATTCCAAAGCAGACACAGGGCTGTGCCCTCGACGGGCCAGTTGGCGCACACATCGACCATACGAGGAAGATGCAGTGCCAGACTCCACATACCATAAAAATATGCCTGACTCGCATCCCACAGCTAGTTCCTGACCAGATAACGGCCTAGGCACAGAGTAAAACAACAGTTTAAAAATGTTTTTTGGAACTTTGTGAATTCACAATCCTAGTTACACACATTAAAACAAATTAAAGTTTATGTAGAATTGCATTTCATGCTATGGATAATGGAAGGTTTCCATAATTATTTTAATTTAATATAACTGATTAGAAAACAAGAATGTCTGTGGTACACTGAAACATTGCTAGTTTATATAAAAAATTGACAAATTTGAAATCCTGAATTTTGAAACTACTTTTCATTTACTTCTTGTTGCCTTTGTGATATCTTCAGTTCTCATGTTTTTTAATCTCATTTTTGAGTTTCTCGACTTATTCTACAAAACAAAACAAGTGCATTATTTTTTCCAAAATAATATTAAACAATATTCCACTCCCTCCTGCCACAAAGACAAATTGTTGAAAATGGTTCGCAAAGCTACGCACATGCAGTATTCTACATCACAAAAGTTTCATACAAGACATTTTTCCAACTGCTCAAGAAATGGCTTTGACCATTACTTGCAGAAGGATATTAGCAAGCTCTGAGAGCTGCCCTGCTTGTGAATCTGACATTGTGTTGAACAGAAAATGTAATTAAAGAGAAAGTTTTGCTGAATAAATTCAATATCACACTGACAAGGCAGTGACATCATGCCACAAATAATGATAGTCAAGTCTTGTGTCCAGGAAAAATAAAAAGCGCACTATGAAGGTTAAACATGTCCAGTAAGTAAAATGTGATATTTCTTGTTTCAAAGATGTCAACTCCTCAGAGTAAAAAAGCACGGTATAAGTTTTGAAAGTGAAAAGGACAGGAAATAAAGCAAAATATCAAGAAATTTGAGTTATGATGGACTCTTAGAACTTTTTTAATTCACATATGAAAACAGTAAAACAGTACAGAATAGTCATAACAGAGGAGAGTACAGAAAATGAAACACAAACTTACAATCATTAAATATTATATTTCTCCATTATTTTAAATCTTTATTGAAGATGATTTTCCACATAAAATACTGAAAATTTACCCTTTAAAAGCAAAATGAAAATTTATGAAACAGGAATAAAATCCAAAAAACAAACCTCCAAGCTAGGCAGGAAACAAAATGTTGGCCCTTGCATTTTAAGACTGGCCTGTTCTGTCTATTGGAGGATTCACCAAACACTCTCACAGTGTCATCCCAAAATGCCACTGCTAAGCGAACCGTGTAGGGATGCCAAGCCATGGCATTTATGCAACACTTGTCCAAGTCCTTCTGCGTCAGAGAGGCCACTAAGCGTGTTCCACTCTCCTACACAAAAACACAAAATTATTTACTGCACTATTACCTCCTTGGAGATATCAGAAAGTTTATAACAATATCATTACTGAAATAGAATGTAAAATGCTATACATAAAATAACTAATGCTATATGTACAATTACATTATTAACACCATTCTAAGAGACCCCTATACAAAACATCTACTACCTCCTTCTACTACCTTCCTACTATATCTACTACCTTCCTTCAGGAAGGACATGATAAGGGATAAGAACCAAAATCTATAGCTGAGATACCCTTGGAAATTGATTTTATTACATCAGAGCAAATATTTTGTAAACAGTTCTTCCCAAAAATGCTCATTTCTTTCTATATTCAGAATTATACTTAGGCTAGGGATCCCAGAATTCATTTCTCCTTGTAGCATGCCACACGGTTTTTAACAGTTTTTGACATACAAAAAATAAATGTAAATTCAACAAAATTAAAATTGAATGCTTAGGTTTCCCACTTCTTTAACAAAAACAAAATGAATACTGATGAGAACAACTAGCAGCTTTGATAGCATACACCCATGACCATTAACTCTATTGTACCCAATGGCAAGGATAATATAAAAATACATGATTAGAGAATGCAAGTTAATTGGACAGAATGAATTTGGCAAAGTGGCAAATCAAATATAAATATTACGATGCTAATTTTACGACTGACATGTGTTTGAGACTGAAAGGACAATAAATACTGAACATTTAGCTTGAAGACCAACGATTAGAAACCGTTAAAATAAAGCACAAATTGTATTTTAGAATAAAATATTTTGTCAAATGCTATAATGAAGGGAAGTTGTCATAGTGGTCAGTAAAAGTATGAGATCACGATAAAGGACTGTCAATAAACTAAAAAGACTATCACAAAAAATACAAGTTTGAAAGCAAATGAAATAGGAACGTAAAATTTTGTCTCTGAGCATTTTTGGATTAGAACAAAATCAATGGTGATGGGCGATGCACATCAAATTGAAATTAGATTCCTCATGCGGGATATAAGGGTTCATGGTTGTAGACATTAGGAAGATGTTAAATAAATTATTCAGATTCTGTATAGTGATAGTTATTGATTAGCGAGATTACTTTGCTGATAGTATAAAGTTAAATTTAATTTCTTAAACAGTTTTATTCTTATTAAGGGATGAACTTTATAGCATGTTTCAACATGGGATTAGGATGTGTAGCTAACTACAAATCGCTATAGAAATGTTCACCTGAGACATTTGTGTAAATAGTTTGATCATTAGGTTTGGGATTTAGATTTTTAATATATTCATAGTTTTTGTTCTTGTTATAAGTAAAATCGCGATTGAGTGATTGTGCTTGGGTGGGCAGTTATTTGAATTCATGGACAGAAATTTTATCCAAATGAAGATTCCTGGAGGGATCCAGAGGGGCCACAGAACTGAAATTCCAACACAACTCCATTGAGCAAATATTGCAAGCAATTGCAAATATTGAGTCATCGGAATCATGTCTCTCTGAAAATCAAGACCTTGTATTCAAGAATTCTCTCCCGTGCCCATCTCTGTCTTTGTACAAAAGGATAATATTCCGAATCATCATCAAATACCATCATTTGCAATTGTTGAGCCATTCCAACACATTGGAGTTACACACATGTTGAAAAGTATCTTTACTCTTCATAAATTTTTCATTGTGAAAAATTACCCTTAAATTTACTCTCATGTAAGCGATTTACACTTCAGTCAAGTCTTGGTGAATGCTCCAAGAAACTCTCAAGTAAACGTGATTTACTCCAGAGTAATCGCTTACTCTTTGTTTGATGCAACCAGCTCTAAGGAGTATAACATTGCAGGTTGCATTTTGGTGAAAATTTTCCAACAATACGAAAGAAACAAACGAACTTTTTTCTGTAGTCTGTACTAGATGGTTTATCGACTCACATAAGCATAATTAAGGTAAATTAAATATAATGATTAGTCAGACATTAACATCTTATTTAATATAGAGGAAATAAATTAAACATTTCAGTAATGGTGAACGCAGAGCTGAAATGAAAAACGTTTCAATAAATACATTTAACAAATACTTTTTTTTTTCCATTCGAAAAACCATTCACACCATTCAAAACCCGTCCTCACCCGTTGCCGGTGGATACCAAGAAGGCGAGTAAAAGATAATGCCCACCGAGCAGCAGTTTGCAACCACTGAGGTGCATCAACTGTAGCAGGAGATGCAGCAATATGGAGGGCTTCTAGAAATCCTTGCTCGTACCTGCACAAAATAATACATTAGTTGGTAAATATCCTAGTTATATTACTGAGAAGCAACAATACGGGTGGGATCTCAGAGACCCTCGCTCCACAACAAAACCATATTTATTTTTAATCAACATATGCAATAACCCACCTGTAATGAGCATCTTAAATGAAACAAGAAATACTTTTGCAACAATCTTGCCTAGTCTTACTTGGGATAGGAAAGCAATACAGATCTTTGAACAATGTTACATCAACAAACATCACAAGACCACATTTTTAATGCATCTAACTGTTCATAATAAACATATTAGGGAGAGGATTTTTGTGCCCTAAAAAATCTTGAAATATGCTTTTAAAAATATGCATTTGTGACCTAAAAATTCTGAAATATGGCCTTTAATATTCAATAAAAATTACCATTTCCTTTACTGCATAAACCTTTCATGATACAATTCAAAAGCGTGCTTGGAATGAAAAAATATATTTTTTGTGCAAACATAACATAATCTTCCTTATTTTGAGGGAGAAATAACTGAAGTAAATATTTACTTCAGTAAAGTACACTGTACTTGTATGACCTGTAGCATTTCTTCTGTCTGGTTTAAAAAAATATTATATCTAGAAATATCCTACATTTGCACATGTATTTTATCACCTATAGAAAATAAAAACAACACAAATTTCGACGCGCTTTTTTTAATCAACAAATGCTCATGAATAAATGTATTCTATGAAAAAATTAAACGTTTTAGAGATAAGTCTACTTTAACAAAATATGCGCCTATAATTTACTGAATATGCCCCAACAGAACAAATCTATGAATTATACATTAAAAAATTAATTTACAAAGTATTCAATTGTAATCAAATGTCAAGAAATTTCACTTACCTATGCCCTGAACCAAGGGACAAACATATGCAAAATCATAGCTCCCTACATATAATTATATTCCATGTTATAGGTTAAGAGAGCAAGTTTTCCCTAAACAGTAAAATCTGGTTAAGTTGGAACCGTTCGATACAAAAAAAAAAGTTCCGGTTTAGGGAGGTTTCTGTTTTATGCAGGGTGGTCCATTTAACAACACTTATGATATTGATATTTCCGTTCTGAAACTAGGAAATTAATGTATCTAAAGAAGTAATTAAAATAGTGTAAAAATTACATGATTTTATTTTGATTATTAAAATAGACTTACATATAACATCTTATGGAAGAAATCGCCAATAAATGAATATTAAACATTCTTCACTGACAGCTTTCAAGTTTCTCTTGCTTCCAAAAGTTTGGGCTTTTCATCTGTTACAAAACGTTAAGAGTTTTATGGTTTTCGCATTATTAAACTGGTTGTGAAACTCAAAAATACACACCACCTCACTGCCTAATAGTTGAAATCCAACCGCATGCTGACTATTTGAACTCACAATGTGCACTGCCCAGAATACTGTGATTTTCTGATACCCTCGCATGGCCTTGAGCAATGCATCTCTGGCCTAGGGCTACAATTTTCAATGTGGGGCAGGGAGAGGCACGAATAGAAGCCATGCCCGAACACCTCCCACTCTCAGAGAGGAGGGGAGAAGGGAATTCCCTTATGGCCAACGCCTTGAGAAACAAGTGACCCAACGGGCGAATTCTATGCCGTCAGCTGAAGACCCTCATCTTCATAGTGCAGTTGCCACAACTAAATCTTGTGGGATAGAGAATTTAAAACAGATTTACGGATGCAATCATTACATTAACATTATCTCAAGTCTCTGCCAATCGTATTAAATTCACAGGAATTCCATTTTATAAAGATTTTTTCCCCTCTCTAGAACATGCAAAACTGTTCCGTTCCCAACGTGGACAGATTCTGTTTTCTGCTATGTAAAATGCCTTATAACTTCATAGGCCAGAAAAATTTTCTGCTTAAGGCAGGTTTCCGGCTTACACAGATTTTATTGTAGTTGAAAAAAAAGTATGATAAAGAGTAATTAAGGTTTCTCTACCGCCTTAAAATAATAATAAAAAGCACAATTTCACTGATAATATGTAACAGATAATCCTGTAGATTATACATAAATAATACAGAAGCTATACACAAACAGACAAAACTGGCAAAAAAAAAAACAAGATAATGATGCAAAGTAAATTCTCAATGCATGCCTACAGAAGGATGACAAGTAAATCAAAGGTGAAAGCCAAGATAACCTGAAGTAATTTGTTGTAACCTGTTGTAATTTGTTACCAGTTCAAGTATAGAAGTTGTACAGCTTCCGCATCAATAGAGGAAGAAATTCACAAACCAGGAAAGGTATTTGAAACAAAAAATTTTTTTTATTCAGTAAGTAGATGATAGAATGAAATAAACATTGAGGAGACAAAGTACATAACAAAAAATTGCATAATTTGAATGCTGAGGAAGGAATAATTAAAATATATAATTATAAATTGTACTGTCAAACTACAGAAAGGATGACTTACTATGTTATGGAAGCTAGGAAAAAATAAAACGCACATATCCTTGTGGTGCAGTAATAAGAACTGTATAAAATTTTCATTACTTAAGTGTTCACCTAAAAGTTGCAAGACAAGCTCAAAGGTAGGAAATTACAATCGGCAACTTCAAGAAAAAAATAAATACTGTCGACTATCACTACAAGCAAATCCTTCAGAAACTTTATCAATTTGACACGACACATCTGAACAGATTATTTATCAATATCTTCGATTGAAAGTGACAAATATTATATTTGATTACAAAATACTTACCATCCATGTACAAGCTTTTTCAAAAGTGTTGTGTGCGAGGGTATGAAAACATCACTGGATTCTTCATAACGAGCTGCAGCTCGCATTAATTCATGTGTAACATTCACATGAGGATAACATGCCACCTGCAATTGTCACTCTTGATTAAAATAAAATAATTAACAATTTTCAAAAATACTCCTGTCATTTTAAGAATATTTCATTTGGAAACAAAAATTAAACAAACATTTCCTTTGCTTTCTTTTTAACATGTTACATCCATTACACCCCCCTTTTTTCTTCTTTTTTTAAATTTAACAACCAGTTTTTACAAAAGCAAACACTTTCATGTGATATTGATCATTTAAGATAACCCTAGCAGAAAGAGAAGGACCTTCTAGAACCAGATTTTATAGCATTTCAGATAGAATAAGTAGAAAAATATTTTTATGTCCTTTTTTTTAACTCTTCCGGCAATCAAAATTCAAATTTTGCAATTAAAAAAAAAAAGGAGGAAAAACATTGGGATCCAGTAATCTAATATGATATATAAAAAAAATTAGTACCCTATACTTACAAATTTCGCTATGCCATCATACTGGGCATTCTCGGGTAAAGAATACTGCGTCTTGCCTCCAGCTTCATATAAAGAAATATAACCCTCAGGGGGTATTTCCGAAAATCCCAAATATGTCATAATTTTTGGGCATTCGACAAGTGAGATGTGCAAAGTAGTCTCTCCCTTATTCAAAATCTAGCCAGTTTTTCTTCACATTTGTTCCACACGTCACAACACGCTCATTTACATTAATATGTTTAAAATTCAATCGTTAACTTCGACTCACATCACAAAAGTCAACATCCACGCCGACAGAAACGTTTGTGGCGGTTTCCGCGAAATGTTTGGATCGAGCAGATGTAAACATGCAAATGACCGTCCGCCAGCTTACCAACTATCTACCATGAAACGTTATTTCAATAGCAGTGTACACGGCGAAAAGCTTGCAAATTTTTACGCTAGAAAAGGTATTTGGTAATGACAACATGTATGGAGAATTCAAATGTATTTTCTAGTAATATGTTGTTGGTATTGGTTTAAAATATTAATCAATACAACAAATTCTAATAAAGTTGTTGGCAATGGTCAGATTAGCCGTGCCAACCTCTCAAAACGTTCATTCTGAAGTCCAGAACTGATCAGAACATCTCCAATATGCTAAAACCAAATTTTCAAAAACCGAGCTAGATCAAAACAGTGTAGGCAACTTTGTAATGAAATGTGTTATTAATATATTGATTTAACGTTTTCGTTTCTGTTCCTTCATAACATCTACGGTGAAAATTACTTTGTTTGTAAAGCAATAGACTACGCTTATGAAAACAATTCAAAGTCATTAATCCACATTAATATTAATGAATTATGTTGGTGCTATAGAAACGTAGCGGCCATCTTATATTTATATACGAGGATGCAATTTCCATTATATTTGTGTAATATTCATATCGCAAAAAATAGATTGCCGTGATTCTTTTAATCAATATCAGGCCTTAAAGTAAGCAACTTGTGAAGGTAACAGACATTGCTCTCAAGTACTGGCATGGGCCTGCACGGAATATTGCACTGTGAACTTGTCTTTGAGTATTTCCCTACGATTCAATGAGAAAATGTGTTTGTCCCGTAGCGTTCGTAGAATTCCGCTTTCTGTGTTGCACGATTAGATTAGAACATTAGAAAATTTTAATGTAAATTTAAAGCAGAGTATGTACGACTTACCAGCAAAATAAATACATGAGTTATAAAATCATTTTAGAAAATCAAAAATAAATATTTATTTCGTTCAAAATTTGTAATAAGTCATTATTTTACGTAGATTCTCATTTATAATTCATCGATTTAGCTAGATTTTAGATAAGTAGCAGTAGTAGTATGAACTAAATGTGTTGCAAATAAAATTCAGAAATTATTTACATTGCCAATAAAGTAAAGCATTAATTTTCTTTCTTATGCCAATATTCCTTTTCTTTTTCAAACTTTCTCAGATGTAGCCAGCTGAAAGAAGTAAAAATGGATGGCACTGGTGATGCCACTGATGTGTACCACCAACCTAACATCAAAACAGAGGCTTTTTACACAGAGGATAATGTGGTACCAGATCATCAACCCCAAACCCCAGAATATTACTGTAAAGTATCAGCTGCTCCTTTGCCACCTGTGCAAGATGATGAACCAGAACCTCCAAAGCGCTCGTCAACCACTACTCGGTCCAAACCACAGTCTTGCAAAGTCTGTGGTAAGACACTGTCATCTGCTTCCAGCTATTATGTTCACATGAAGTTGCACTCTGGATCTAAACCATTTCATTGTACAGTGTGTGAAGCTTCTTTCTGTAGGAAGCCTTATTTAGAAGTTCACATGCGCACTCACACTGGTGAAAAACCTTTTCAGTGTGATCTGTGTATGAAGCGATTTACCCAAAAGAGTAGCCTCAACACCCATAAACGTGTTCACACCGGTGAACGCCCATATGCCTGCGATGTGTGTCATAAGCGTTTTGCTGTTAAAAGTTATGTGACAGCCCACCGCTGGAGCCACATTGCGGACAAACCTCTGGCATGCGAGCGTTGTGGGCTCACATTCACAGCTAAAAGCCAATTTGCCCTCCATGTTCGTACCCATGCAGCTGCTGCAGGCTTTGAATGTCGTGTATGTGGTCGGGCTTTTGTACGCGACTCCTACCTCATTCGGCACCATAATCGTGTACATCGAGACCCAAACACCCAAACAGTGCAGGTAGTTCAGTCTCAGCCACCTGTTGTAACAACTGCCAGTTCAAGTTTTGAAGCAAGTGAATACAGCCCATCACACACTCATTTCATGTCCTGCTGAGAAGGTGCTGTCACCGAGGGCTTATGTTCTAGTCAGACTGCTGCTGATGCATGCCTTCTGGTTTGCAGATCTTAATATGTCCGTCCTCGGAGACATCTTGAGAATAAGACAGCTTTTATTATCTTTGCATATCAATAAATCGGCAGCTATTGTTGCCAAAAGCAGAGACATGGTTTTTTGTACCTGGTGCCAATTGTCAGTGTTGCATGAATTTTGTTCATCTACTGCATAGAACAATATTATTTTATATTAGAAAAAAGAAAACCTTTTATATAGGCCTCAAAACTTTATTTTATGCTTGGCATTATACGTGTCATAGGTTTTACTGTGCCATAAAGAATTTTAAACTCAGATTTCAGACTGCTGTACAAATATTTACAGTCATTGTAGTACCAAAGATGTGTAGCACGAGGGTGCATAGACAAGTGTTTAGCCAGATTGTGGTGCTGTGTAGTTAATTTATGTTCCTTCAACTTTATATACAATGTATCTTACAAAACTATGTCTACATGTTTAAAATGTAGAATGCAATAGCAACCTTTAAAAGAAATTTGAGAAGCAATCTCAAAGTTGTGTTCTACTTCATTCCCTTATTTTTACAAACTTGTCCTTTCCCTATCATTCACATTTATTCACATCTTAACACTTTAAAAAGCTGAATGTCACATTTGAAGCCAAAAGAAACAAATTACAAGAGTCCTACATTAAATGATGTTCCCTGTCATGTACAAACCTTTCATACAATTCCTCACATTCTTTCTCACAACTATACATTTCTTGTAACTAGGAGTAAAATTTACATACTGATAATACAATAGTTTCAATGGTAAATTCTGTAATTGCACTCAATGATGTTCATTAATCTTGACCACTTGTTTGTGCTCCAGGTGAGTGGATGACTGAGGATTTACTACAGTGCTAACTTACTGTAGCAGGAACAACCAACACTCAAAAATTCATTTTTTTCTTTTTCACCCTTCTCTTCTCCGACTTTCTTCCTCCTCCTCCTCTTCCTCCTCTTCATCACCTGTGCTGATATCGTCACCATCATCATCATCTTCATCATCATCTTCCACCTACACAAAATAAGTCATTTTTTAGAGACTTCTGTTTACTTATGTAAACTATTATGAAAATTGTTTTATAACAATACTGTTATGAACTACTATCAAAATTCTACCCTTTTATTTATAATTATAGTACATATTTATATAAACCAATTCAGTTTTTTAAAATTGATACAAAAATGTTACATACTGAAAAATGTAATTTTTTAGTATTGTGTTAATTAAGAAACCCAGATCCTATTTTACTTACTCCTTATTGTATCAGTGTATTTACCACTTATAATTTGATTTTCATAATACTAGATTCATCGAGTGTTTTGATTTTAATTTTACATAAAAGTTTCCAGAAAGGTCCTCAATTATACATAAAGCATCTTAAGTTTACCCTCTCAGGATGCATCTGTGATTCTAAGTCAAAATCTGCTATGTCTAAAAGTTGATATTTTAATTTTAGAGTGCAATTTTGCTGTTTTCTGGCAGAAACAAAGAGAATGTCAGTTGTGAAACATTTTAATATGCTTGCCACGTTATTGTAAATAAAATCTTCATTTCGGTGAGTCTTTCAAACTTTTGAAAGCAATTCCAGAAAATTCAAGAGTTTGCACATATCAGATTCTGCCATGGTATCACAAATGTACATACTGACTAAATTCTATTAAAATCTTTGAATATATTCTTGATGAAGCCTTAAATAAATATAACAAATTCTGATAAATCCTAACAGAAGTAATTATAGCATCAAAAGACGATGGTCAACCATTGGGGAGGGCAACACCAATGGAAGATTGTTTCAGTTTTTAGAGCGTTCACATGATGATGCAGGTAAAATAATATATGATGGCATTTGTGAGTAATTTTATTCACTAGAGATAACTCTCTTGGCTCCTATTGTCACCCTAATTGCTAACATTTTCTCCCTTTTACATAAAATCTTATTTTTCTTTCTCATAATATAGGTTATGAGCATTTTATGCACATCAATTTAATTACAATTTTTTTCTAATTTTATTTCCTAGAAAGGTAATAAATTTTTGTTTTATTAATGTTAATCTTTGCTGGTGTTATGGACACCTTCTGTATTCACATTATTATAAGACCTAATATTAACATTAAAAAAAAAAATTAAATATTTATAAATTATACTTTAATACAGTTTTGTATATTTGAATGAAGTGGTAAAAGGGAGATGCCATAAACTCAGGTTTGTATCATCTCCACTAAACTAACTTTAAGGTCCTAGTGGAAGCTCTCAGTTGTGAATGAAGATTAGAACCCAAAAACATGTTCAAAAACCAATATCTTTATGACAATTTTTCAAATAGGACCATTCATTCTATACTTATTCATCCAAAAGATGCAATGAATTGAGAACATGAAGAAACATTAATATGTAGAATAAGTCTTATTTTATTAATTCACCTTTTCTCCAAGGTCACGCAATCTTTGCCTAAAAGTAGTCAGTCTAGCATCTTGGTCTGCCAACAGCTCCAGTAAATCATCCTGATCTTTGCGCAAACGAGACAACTCTGCTTGCAAATCTGCGACCTAAGTAAACGTTTACATTTGGTGAGAGTCCTTTAAACCTCTTAAATTCAAAATAAAATTTGATTTACCAAATTTAACCATCAAAAATTTTCTATTACCTCCTGACTGTCTGCAGATGTTCTTTCGATATCATTAGATTTCAGTGGGCTTGACTCCAACTGCTGCTCCTATAACAAGGGAATTTTTATTACGAATGTTGGAGAACATAAATTTAAATGAAAATAATCATATATTTACAAATTATTTACTCAGGCAAGTGCATTTGTTTACTATCAATTCTCTTCTGCTCCAAACTAGACTAAAATAATATTTTAAAATAATTGTTTAAGGGGAGAGGGTATCATGTATACCACCCGTGTTAAATTTGCTATTATTGATGTACCTTTTCTAGAAACTGGTTAACTACAAAATTTTGATATTTTGCACACTTAAAAGATACGTTCATAATTACGAAAAAATAGCTATACTTGAATGCAGTGTCAAAAAAGGGAGCATGGCTCATGTGCACTAGGACATTTAAATTAAAAGTAAAGAGACTTCTAGGCATCCTACAAGAAAAATGTTGATATTTTGGAAAGAGCAAGGTTTGAACTATTTATTTAGCTATAAAAATGAAAATCAATAATTTCACCCATTTTATGGTACTCTCCTAAACAAAAACTATTCTCATCACTTCAATGAACATAAAATACGCTGAGAATTATAAACACATGTTTTTTAATGTTTGTTGTAAAAATTTATTAATCATTTAAGAAATGATTAGCAGTTGAATTACAAAAGTAGAACTATTTTAGCACTGAATGTACACTGTTTTTTAACTACTATTTAAAAAAAAATCTTACACAATCTCCTTTTTGTGATTATGTGAACAATAAGAGAGTTTCAAACAGTTTACCTTTTAAAGTCTCAAAATTCAATAAAATTGAAAGAACTTAATCATGTGTTGATTTATCTTTCTTAAGTACTGATTAGCGTATCGGACTGTTATATCCAAGATCATGGGTCCAAGCCCAATTCAAGCCATGGATTTGGGTGAAAAAAAAATTCTTTGTTGGCCTGCATTCGGAGGGAAAGTAAAGCTGGCTGTCCCATGTAGATTTACTGCATGTTAAAGATCCTAAAGCCTCAGAGCTCAATTCTCCTTTTTCCAATAGATGGTGAAAGAACCTTTGCAAAATTTGCAATCAGACAGAAGAGTGAGCCTGATGGCTTAAGTCTGACCTCATAAAATAAATCATAATTGAATTGATTAAAAAATAGTACTATTAAAACAAAATTATTTTTATCCTTTATTTGCAACTATTTTTTTAATGGATCAGGTAAAATTTTAAATAATAATCTAAATAAATAAAACAAAGTTGGTTTGGTTATACCATTTATAACTCAAGAACGGCTGGTCCAATTTTATTTATCTCTGACTTATTGGATTTATCTTTGCCCCAAATAGAAGAATAAATATTAAAATATCAGAAACATTCACAAGAAAAAGAACAAAGAACAAAACTAAATATTCATGCCAAATGCAATCTGCAACACACAGAAGGATTTTTGACTATATCGTTAAGTAACTCCTAAACAAAGCATGAGATCGTCTTCAAAAATCTCTTACATTTTGCTGGTCTGGTGCTTCTCAATATTATCCCACCTGCTCAGAGAAATTAATCTGCATTTAGACAAGTATGAGAGAAAGGGAGACGGAAGGAGAAAGAGGGAGATGAAAGGCAGAACAATCGCTGCCTGTTTCTGGTAGTTAGAAATAAATATTGCTTAAAACTTTCCCACAGCAAAATTTGAAATAACAGAAATACAACAATCTCTGAAGTGATTATTTTAAAGTAAGTAAATAGTTGTTTTATATACTAGCTATTTGCACAATGGTAACTAAAGAGTAATCTCCTCCAAAATTTCTCTCTCTCTCTTTCTTTCTCCTATTCACTAAGTAAGTTGTACATACCAAGTCTCTTATTCTCTGCTCCTTGTTGTGACTATCAGCTGTAAGCGCAGCAAGGCGCTGTGTGAGTTCCGCAACATGAATCCCATCATTACTATTGGTGGTGGCTTCTCCAGCATGAGCATTTGCTCGTGCTCTTAGAAGGGTGTTTTCATCTCTGAGAAGCTGATTTGCTGCCACTAATTCATCCAGACGTGCCTTAATAGAAGATTAAGATATTGGCAACAATTTTTCCAAAGAAATATATTTTGTAAAAACTATAAGAAGAAATGAAAAAGGAATGGATTTTGTCTTCAAGTGCATTAGAAGTAACAATAATTGAAAATAATACACCTCAGAAATTTTAAAGCTACCTTGTGCAATGTATTTTTTTAAATTCGTTTACAGGAAGATAAATTAGTGAAAAACTTCAAATTGATAAATAGGAAATAGCATATGAATTTCGATGTAAGTAATGGAAATATACCTGTAAGGCATCACGTTCTTGTTGCAATTGAATATGTGATGCTGCCATTTCATTTAGACGAGCATCCTGATCTCGAATCAGTTGCTTGTAGCGGTCTAGTTGAACAGGACTAGTTTCACTATCCCCTGAACCATCTGCGCCGTCCAATTCACCTGGTGCTGGTGTCACAGCTTTAACGACTGTCCCTGCATTGCAAATTTAAATTTCTTAATGACAATATGTCATAAATAAGAAAAGGAACAACTATTAACAAATTGTCACAAGGTTGAAAATATCCTCTCTAAAAATATTATTCTTAGGAAAAATTATTGTTTCATGCAATGTATAAGAAACCATCAACACAAGACCCAATAAATTTGCTGGTTAGGAAATATCTCCCCAGTGACATAAATCAGATTTTTGACAAAAAAAATAGAAGTTTATGGTTTATTATGCAAGGGAAATAGCAGGTGAAAATTTAACACATGTTGCTATTATGCATAATTTGGAAACCATGTCTTCCAGGCCCTTAAAACCCGATTTTTGTGTCTTAGGGGAACAAATAAGTTTTCTTATGCCATAATCAAAATTAGAAATTTCTGAATTTTGTTTCATTTTTTGAAGGGTGCTCCTCTACCATAGTAGGGATGGTCAAAAACATTTAATCTTTAACTCCAGTAAGAAGCTATTTTCACTTCTAAAACAATGATTTAAAAAGCTTGAAGCAGTCGCACCGCAAAAATCGCACTGCACAATACCACGCAAATATATCTCACCCTCAAGAACACGCAGAAGACGACAGAATTCGTGATCAAGTAGCAAATCATATGGCGCAGCAGCACGTGCTTGAGGGTGTTTACTGGCACGACCATATGCCTCATGGCGAGACAAAGTGCTCAGGCGTTCCAGGAAGAGCTCCAATCCCACACGGCGTTCAATAAGTTGACGTAGTGTGGCCTAAAAAAGTTAAACAAAAACATAATCTTCATTCAGTATTTTCTGGTTTTCCAATTTTAAAACTTTTCTCTACACCACATAAAAGAAAGAAATTTATTCCACTGTACACAAAATTATTCACTATTAGAAAAATAAGTGTGCTGGCAAAATACAATTATTAAACAGGAAAAGGTTTAATTTCTCATTTATTTCAATTCTGATATAGAAGTAAATATATTAGTTCATTTACTTCTAATATGAAAGCGTAATATTTAAAAATGTTTATGAAATCACCATGAAAGTTTTGTGGAGGTGTTCTCAATATAAAAAAACCAAGAGAACATCATTTGATTAAACAAGATCATACATGGTTAGTAAATTCTGCAGCAATCTGCTCCAAAAAACCTTACCCAAGTGAATTCTATTATAACTAACACACATTAACATCCCTTCACCTTTTCACCCACATCTGCATGAACGGAAAAATCAGTTGAGGAAACATGATTTAATACAATTTGAAACATTTAACATTACTTTATTTGAGATATCGCATGCCTCACCCTTACCACAAAGGGGAAGTACCCAAAAGAAACAAAACACCTAAAAATGCAATTGATGGACCCAAAACACCCAATTTTGTAGATGATGACACAATGAAAGTAACTCAAATGTCCAGTCTCGAAACCTAAGTTTTAAGGCCCTAAATCACACCATTTTCAGGTTACACATTTTTGGTTAAGAAACACTCTGTTAAACAGGCCATTGCTGTGGATTTGCATTCACCCTTGCCTAATTCTGATGAGTTTTTCAACAAACAATGGGAAATATTTATAAAATGCAATTCACCACCTCTGTGAAATTCTCATTCTTTTGACATTTTATTTATTAAGATTGGTTGGGAAATACTAGAGGGGAAACTTACTGACTTTCAATTTACCTTATCAAATCCTGATGCAGAAGCTGACCCATCATTAAATGCAACACATAATCCAAGGAGGAATGCACAGGCCCCTTGCACCAATCCAGCATGCTCATCTTGGTCAGGGGCTGAGACTTGTGCCATCAGATGACTGATTGAACTCTGTGCAGATAGAAACTGTGCTACGGCAGAGGGACAATGTGCCAGCCATCCAGAGAGCAGCTGAAGAAGACCTAGACGTGTGTGTGTGCTGTTTGCAGTCTGTAGCAAGTTTGATAATTGCTGTAACAATGGCACAGGTGGTCTCCCTCCACCAGTTGCCAACAACACCCGGAGAAGCTGTTCCTTCTGTGCTGGGGAATCCAATAAAACATGGGAGAGCGCCACAGCCACCAACCAATGAGACAGGGGATCAGGTGAAAACAGCCCTCCACATAGCAGCTGGCCAGGTGTTAATTGACCAACTATAACAAAGTTGCAAAGGAGAAATTTTATACGTAAATACATTCTATAATACAAATAAACATGAATTTCAAAATAAAAAAACATTTACAACATTGCCCAACTTAATTTTGTTGTTATTTCCTCTTTCCTAATTTTGAATGGTTAATCATTCAATTATGGGGTAATAAAGAACAAAGTTGTTCATGAAAGCAACTTTCAAAACAGTACAATAACTAAAGTTATTAAAATATCTCAAAATATTATTAGATGTTTTGTTTTTTGAATTATTTTATAAACTTCTATTAACAATGCAAATAATAACTTTACACTATCACTGTACGTAGCAAAAAAATAGTAATTCCTTTGGAAGTTTTAATAAAATAAGCAACAAACATCATTTATCAAGGCACCCAATGTCTCCTGCTTGCAAGGTGCAGCTGACACGATAATCTCCTAAGCAACAAAACTATGCTGCTTCTCTTTTGCAATAAATCTTTTGAATATATTTATATCTTTGGTGTATTTTTCTGGGTCTTCTAATATGTATCTTAAAAGGTAACTATCAGTGAACAATATTTGAAAGAACAGACAATTGTTCCAACATCTATCAGTATTTAATATTTACAGTACATTTTTAGCTTAGTAAAATTTCAAAATTCTCACCATCAGCAGAGGCAGGTAGTAATGTTTGCACCAGCTGAGCTTGTCCATGTTCATTACGATACAAATAACATTGAAAACAGTAAAGGACAGCTAGCCGGAGGGAAAATGGTTGTTTCTCATTCACCATGGACATTAATAACACTACTAATGCAGGTCTAGGTGGTGTGGAGGGTGCCATAACCGCAGCCAGCATCTCCTTTTGAACAGATTTTGTTATTTACAATTAAAGAATTGAAATAAATGCAAATTAACTTTCTACTTTATTCATTACATAAGTAACAGACATTCTAAAAGTAGTATTTGAAATATCAATATTGTTGTAATGCAACAAATAGATGAAATTTCATTACCCTTGTTTGAAATATGAAATGAAAATTCCTTTAATTTGACGAGTCATGTAAAGTTTTAAAGTGGTCGAAAGTTACAGGAAATACTTTGAACATTGAATCCAATTACAAAGCAGTTTGCAAATCAGAAATAACGTCATACTGGACACTAAATAAATTGCACATCATTAACCCATTCACCTAAGCTTTGCCCCCTCCCCACCATTGCACCAACCTTCACCTCAGATTTAAATGCCTCGGACTATCTTCTTACTGCAGTATTTCAATTTAAAAACAATGGAGGGGCTTGGAATAAGATCACCTAATTTCAACACAATGTCTGGAAACACACTAAAATAAGCCGTTACACACATTCCGCTTAGAACTCTATTTTCAGTCTCTTGAGTGCAGAGTGGGGACCTGGCCCACTTGCATCTCCGAGATGTCAAAAAATGATTAGGCCATTCTCCATCATGACGTCTAGGAGACGCCAAAAGACGCGAATGGTTAATAGCTCTTCATGAATTGTAATGCATCATAAAATGTAATTTCTTTGGGACAATTATTGTTTTGAATGTCCACTTCTCAAATACTTTTAAAGAATGCGAGGGCCGAAGGCACGACCCTCGCTGTGACTTGGATTCAGGCAAGCGAAGCAAGGAAACTTGCCTTTGAAAGTAAATTGGCGTTACAATGTGGCGGGGACAAAGCATATGAAGGGCGTACCATGAAAATTGCCTATCCATAAGTTTTATTCATTTCTATCAGAGCATGAACAGTAATTAGGGCTTAGGGTGACCCCCCCTCCCACTGCCATGCTTCTCTGAGGGTGTACCGTGTACCTTACTTTAACACATTTAAAAGTCACAAAAAGCAAGGAAGTCAATATTATGTTCTGAGATCTTGCATAGTTCATACTAACTTGATTTTCAGTACAGCCTCGAACAACTTCTCCAACTGTACAAATTGTTTCTGCTAAAACATCAGCAGGAACTCCTGATGCCATTAGTAAAGAGCATAATGAATCAACAAGCCCACATGATCTCATGTGTTTTTGAGAAGATGATATAATTTGAGCAGGATTGCTAGGGTTGACTAGAGTACGTACCACCTGAAACATCGAATAACAACCATTATGTAATTTATGCCAACCACCAAAGAGGTTTAAGGTATTTTTATATTCCCTACAGATAACATTATTAGTTCATGAGATTTACTTCTTTCTTGCCTCGCTCTCACCAAAACTAAACCAGTATTTATAAATATATTATTAACACCATGCTGATATGCAAATTATTTTTAAATACTTCAATCCACCATATTAATTTCATGACTATGTTCTTCTCAAGCTCACCTTTTTGTGAATTTATTGTAATTCCCTCAGCTAATATAAAATTTCAGATAAAATTTAAATATTATGTTTGTAATGCAAATGAAATATAAAACAATTTTACAATCAATTTATTTTGAATATTAAAAATTACATCCCATTGACAATAATAATCAAGGAACAAAGTTTACCAACATAATTATTTTAAATTTAAAAAAAAATTAAATTCTAATACATCTAAACTGTTTCCCAATTAGCATAAGAATAACAAAAAAGAGCAAATACAATTTTCAGAAGACTTACCTGCAAGATACAATGGACGTTACTAACTTTTTGAGGTGACCAACCAACTTCGTCACTTTCAGAAGGAAGGGACAACATTGGGGCTAATCTTTGTATGTATCCACCTTAAAAAACAAAAGCAACTTTTAATTACAAATTACTATATATTTTTAAATCCATATAAAAAAATTTGTTCCAAATATATTCATCTTAACGGAATATATTTGTATTTACCTACATTTTAGATAGTAATAAGTGAATAAACTGAGAACCAACCCAAATGTAAGCAAACACATAAAAGCAATAAGAGATGAGCATCAGTCAACTCACCTTCTTTAAAAAAATTCATATTTGAAGTGTTAGAACGAAGAAGATTGAGCATGAGCAACAAACAGTCTTCCACAATAATTCCTCCATCAACTCCTCCTTCCTCAGTAACTACATCAAGCAGCCTATCAAAAGCATTCTCAAATGCCACTATTTTCTGGATATTAGCATTACCTTTTGTAAGCTGAATTAACAGTAGTAAAGCCTGAAAAAAGTATTTTCTTTATCGTGAACTTTTATTTTTATTTTAATTTTAGGATTAATTTAATAGAAAACACACCAAAACATTTTTTTTAAATACAATATGATACTACTATTGAATTAAAACCCTGGAGAGATTTACTATTTTATTCACTCTGATCTTTTTGGATAGTAAGCATTCATAAATTAAAGCTTATGACAACTTTATCAAAAGTAGGATGGCTGTTCCTCTATGAAATTACACCCTAACTTCACAGTAAAAAGACTAGTATGCATAATTTCCAAAAATGAAATAATGTCAGGGTAATCGATTTCACAAACTCTTTAAAGCAGTTTTAAAAATCATTATAAGTGACAAGATCTTATTAATGCTTTCAATGAACACAAAAATGTTTTAGTAAGTGTACTTCATACTCAAAAATATTTTCATCCTTACATTGACAACTAATCTTGAAAAGAAAAGAGGAAAAAAAGAAAAAAAAATTAAAAGTTTTAAAATATCTACAATATTACATCTTTAATGGTGTCATTTATAACATTATATCTTACATTATTTCTGATTACTTCTCTCGCATCTCCCAACAGGTCCATTAATTTTGATACACCCATAGGACTGACGAGAACTGCATCCTGAACTTCTCGTGGCCTGAAGGACAATTAAAATAGTAAATTACATTTTTATAATATTATTTCATCCAATTTAAAATGTACAAATAATTTCACTTATTTCTCATTATTTACACAAAACTAATAGTGTTGGGTAAATCTATTTTACTAAGAACTAATAATGAACGAAGACGACAGGAGTCCACTACAAAAATTATGATGCTGAGATCGCACAGTTGGGGATTCACAAATGATATGAAACTTGGTAAAAGCATCAATGAACTTTAATGTTTGCTGTAAAGTGAAAGTGACTCATTCTGACATTCTGAATGAATTGGCACTGAAATTTGAAAAAGTATATCATCTTACTTGTTGCTTAGAACAGCACTAAGTAATTTTAGTGCAGGCCATCGTACATGAAAGTCATATTCATCTAGAAACGCCAAGATGAGAGGGATTGCATCAGGTCTTTTGAGAAACATTTCTGTGAATTGCTCTCCCACGTTCCCTCCACCATCTGGCCTCTCTGAAACATTAATCTGCTATTTACTAAATAGCCGTTAAGCTTGTTATGTATTACCTTCCAGGTACATGAACTAAACACAAATATCAATAAAATTATAAGTACCTTCCTCTTCAAAGGTTTCTGGAGATGTTATATTACATAAAGTGTCCAACGCGTATCCCACAATTTCTGCATCTGCTCGATCAGCTTCCAACACTTGTCGTAATGCTGTCATACCCTAAACAAAACTTTATTAATCTACTTCCATACATTTCAAGCAGCATTCTATGCGCCAATATTTCACTAATGTGAACAAACCTGCGCCCCAACTTCAACCCTGTATTTTCGAGAGAGAGCTTTGAGAGCTCTGCATGCATCTCGCCGATCATCTAGAAGAGTAGAGGACTGCACCCGATCAACAAGACGTTCAACCTACAGGCAAACGTCAGAACATATGTGGACATATATTACTGTATTTCTACCCAAAAACTTCACTCCACAAACAGTTATAGTTATTTATATTAACATCAAAAATCGCACACAAAGATACTATTAATTAGCAGCGGAAAATAATAGGAAATAAGGATGAGGGGGCGTGCCTGTCACCTTAACCTCAAAACTCATCATGTTTCGAGAGTAAAAATAGTGACAAATTTACCGTTTCTGCTCCGGTGGGCTGAACTCCCTCCGGAGGTCCTCCTAATACAGATTTGAGCCCGCTTTTAAAGAAATCCATGTCCTATTTGCCTCTAATTGGAGCAGACTTAACCACACTATACACGTCACTGTTTCGGCTGGCATCGATTGCGGGTTCGTGTTGCAAAATGAGCATCGTGGATGTTTTGTCAACGTTACAATAATTCCCCTAAACCAGTTCTGATGTTAGTCGATGACTTTTATTGGTGTATTTATTTTTGTCATATTGTCGTAGTAATCGTGATTTGGATACTCTTATTTACCACTTACTACCATAATTTGTTTCAGCCCGTCAGAATATTTATACGAAACAATACACTTTCAAGCGGCAAATATTCTCGCTTTGTACCCAGCAATTAAACAGTATTGGTGATCGAAGGAAAAATTAAATGAAATAGATACAATATGTAACAATTTCATATGATATATCATGAACTTGAAATTACTATTATAATTATGAGTTGGATGCATTGTAAAGGCAATATTAAAAGGAGAACACTGGAATTTCGATCAGCGCATTGACGTCCATAGTTTCACCACTGAACACATATTCATCCTTGGTTTCACCCTCTTCAATTAAAATTGATTGGGCTACAAATTTACTCACGGAGGCTTCTCAATTAGGTGTTTGTTTGATTTTGTTTTTATTGCAGTGGTTAGTGATGCCTCAACAATCTGAAGATTGCAAACTTCATCGAATGATGGAAATGTAATTTCCAAAATTCACAACACTAAAATATAATAAAACTTAAGCAATTCATATAAAATAACTAAAACTACGTTTAATTGAAGTATATATTGAAACATTATTTACATAATTGTATGCGTAGTATTTGTGTCAGGTATGTTCAACTCCCGCGCACATGGTTTTGGCTTTGACTTTCAGTGAGCACTCGAGTTTTTGGATTAGTTCTGCATTGCATTGCCGGTAACAGAATTCATACAAAACAAAACCTAACTAGGTTTCGAAAATACGGTGAACAAGCACTATTGTAGGTTCCGGAACGCGCCCAAACTATAGATTAATTTAAAAGAAATACTTGAATATTTATAATATAATTTAATAATTATTCCTGAGGGACCGTCTGACCGGGAGGCCTTAGGTTCGAGTCCCAACGGTGGCAGGATTTTCGACACTAGCTTGTCAGCTAGTTCGAATTTCATCGCTGTCTGGAGAATTCTAGCGGCCGGCTGCTCTAATCGGTAGTATTCCGTGGTTTCTCAACATTAGGCGAATACCGGAGCAGTACCCTGACAAACGAGCCACGGACCGCGCACGATCTTTCCTTCCCATTCCTTGTTCTATCTTCGCTCCTTACACACACGCTAACATGCACTACACTACCGCATATGCCGGGAGACCGGTCGGGAGCTTAGAACTTGTCCCGACTGGGGCGGTGCCCCGCTGGTGAGAGATACCTAGTTGGGGAAACCCCCGCTAGCCGACTGTAGGTCGGCACCGGATCTCACCATACAGCGGGGAAGACCACCGCCACCTCCCGAACAAAAAGTGCACTACACTTTCGGGACTAATGACCTCAGAAGTTGCCGTCCGGAAACACTAATAATTAATCACTCAATTAATCTGAGGGACCGGAACGCCATTCCGTCGCGTTTCGCCAGAAATGAAGCTCTGTATTGTAACGTATTAGCCAGCGTGCCTCGTGGCATCTATTTGGGGACGCTGGCAGAGGATCAGCCTTGCCACAGGAAGAAGGGTTTTTCCGTAAAGGGAAGAACGCGGAAACGGGAGACACAAGGCTTTGGGAGTTTCCGGCTTATAAGAGCTTTTCACTGTTATAACAAGCGAGGGGGTGGCGTGACGTAGTAGGTCACGTGGGCCTCGCCTATATAACTGAGTGTACAGAGCCAGTAGGTGGGTTCTGAAGACGGTGGGAGAACCTCGTGCGTGTGCACAAAACTTGGCGCCACGACAGTGCATATGCGAGCCAGGCTCGCGAGGCTGGAGTCATTAGTTGACGAAGCCTGCGGACTTTATGTCCTTGGGTGACTGCGGTCACGGGGGAGCGATGCTGTGTGCGTGCTCCGAGGTGAAGAGTGGTTGAGTGCCACGATTCACGCCGATTCTCAATCGGATAAGATCGCTCCTGCGATCGAGGCAAACCAGCCGTTGGTGCGCCAGAACGGACTTTGTGTCCCAGCGTGACATCCGGTCACGGAAGCTAGGCTTTGTGCGCGCTTCAAAAGTAGGAGTGGCGAATGCCACAATCAAAACCATCTTCAATCGGGTTTGGATCGCTCCCGCGATCAGGGGATAGTAGGTCTATCGGAGCTAGGGTGTAAGTAGATTATTAAGTGTATATATTTGTTTTGTTTTCTTTGTTAATAAATATATTGTTATACGAAAGCTCTGTGTCTGTGGTCGCTGTGAGTATCCATGACGTCACAGTATGTTACACTCCCTTACTTTATCTCTTTAATTAATTTTAACTTTAATTATATAATAAAATTAAATTTAATTTAATTTAAATAAAATTAATTAATTTTAACGTACAGTCGTACCCTTTTCGTTTAATTTGATTTTAAATAGCTCTGTTTTTATGTACATTTAGGTTTCCGCGGCTCGAGTTCATTACTTCTAGGCTGTCCGGGTGACGCCGCGTCGTTGGCAGATAGCCGACGTTTCGCATGTCATCTCGTCGGCCTATCTGCCAACGACGCGGCGTCACCCGGACAGCCTAGAAGTAGCTCTGTTTTTAATTTTATTTTACAACAATACTTTCCACTTCGGGTTTCTTATATAATTAACACGTTCTCAGGGCCAATTTACAATACTTACTTCAAATCGTGGACCTGAAAATCCACTGCTCGTACCGGCTGGTAAAATTATTTAGATTGGGGAAAATTAATATTGGTAGCTAGATTTCATGAAACCTCAATATTTTCAAATGCAAAACATAAAATGGAATTATGCAGTAAGGGAAAGTTGTCTAAAATGGGGACACTAACATAAATTAGCATATAACAACAAACTAAATTACATGTGACGAATGGGTCGCAAAAACCTTCGATGTTATGCAGAATGTAGATTGTGATGTAGAACGTGCAATGTCACGGTTTTTAAACAATTTGGCTAAAATGGGGTACTCGCATTAAAATGATCAAATATTGAAGACGTTTATTATAAAACATTTAGAAAGTCAATAATGAAATTAAGTAAGCTATGACAAGTACGAAACATAATAATAAACACCTTGTCACTTTGTAAATGTGTTTTTTATTAACATTTTACTTTGTACAGGAACAAAGTAGGACCGAAATCACGCACAAAAGTTACAAATATAGGTGTCATCCCGTCATTAGCATGCGAACAGGCATATTGGTCAAACCTGGACAGTAGCACATACTCCACATATCCAGCTTTTGATACCATTGGAATTTGCCTAAAGTTCGTTGCAGAAGATAAACGCATCGTCAGCATTTTCTTCTTCGGAACTTATCATGGTTTCCTCCGCTTTCCTTTTTCTACCTTTTTGAGTTTTACTCGCATTGTGTTCACTTGATTTTTAACCAGAGCTTTCTTCTGTTTATTAGTTGCTTATACTTTCACGTATACATACGAGTATGTATATACGGAGTAAAATAGGTAGTATAGAGAAAGTTGGGGAAATGCTGCGGTAAATCGATTTGGAGATTTCAACGGAAATGCACCTTTTTGGGGTCCCCTGGTACCGAAAAAGTTTTGTTTTTTTGTTGCTTTTGTTTTTTCCCCAAAACGTCGGTCCGTCTGTAAGTTTGTGAACACCAATAGTACCTAAAACATACGTACGTAGATTTTTTTTTCAAAATAACCGATCGATCTGGCTCCACTTGAGGAGCAGCGATTTTGAAAAATATTCTTCAAAATTTTGGGGTACTTCACATGAAGCTCCCCGAATATTCTTCATTTTCTCAAACACTTCGTAATTTTTTTTCTTTAAATTTCTTGTACGAATAGAGTAAAATACACTTATAAAGGTGGCATCAATCCCAGTTTCAGAGTTAACACTGAATTTTCGATAATTGCAAAAGTTTGACTTTTCTCGGCGTTTTCCTACAACTACAAAATTGAACATAGAGACTTTTCTTTTAAATGAAACTTGTTGTCTATAATTAGTTCATTCATTAAGGTCAGGTACATGTTTTTGAAACTTTTAGTACTTTTCGAGAAATATTGCGGGCAATATTTACAAATTTAAAAAATTACAAAACCAAATTTTCTTAAAAACGGCTCCAAATTTTTCAAAGAAAATTGTCGTTTATGACAAGGTTTTACTGTTCTTTAATATTCTTAAAATAATATTTCCGTTCTACAATAAGGACATCGAAAAATTAAGAAAATTTCAAAAAAAATGTACTTTGGGCGACGATAGATGGCAGCTGGCAAGAGTATGTGGCAAGATCGTATAGCTAGCCGAGAGCAAAGAAAATAGAAAACTAACACGGTTACGTCTGTAGCACCACTAGTTCAATTTTTACTTGTTATTCTGCTTCGAGTTCTGCTTTCTAAGATGATTTTCCTCTCCTTTTGTCATTTTTCCCTTTTTTATACGTTCCTTTCTTTAGGAAGAGGGATTACTGTTTTTGGTGAAATTCTAGAAGGTAGAGCAGGTCTGGGTTTCTGTAGATGTTTCGTGGCCTTGTTAGCTTCTTCTAATATTTCAACTGGAATAAGTTTAATATTTTCCATTTTCAAATGTTTCTTATTTTATACATTATTCTCTAAGACACTAAGGTGATCATAAATATACATTACAAGGTCTACTAAAATAGGTATTGTTCAGAACCTATATGACGTCATAAAATTTATAAATCAAATGGTATAGATATGATTGAATTTCTCAAAATTAAAACTATTCTTTAATGGAAACGAAAAAATATTGAACGTAAAACGTGTATAATTGTATTCATAGTAAATAAGAAAACTCGCTCCTATCGTCGTTCGTTTCCTTGAACGTATCATTGATGCAATTATACCTCTCTGTGTACACTCGTCTCGTTAATCACTATCATGGTTATCAGTGGCGTTCAAAAAGGGGATGTCCGCGTTTTGAGCTGCTTCAATATTCCTATTTGAGCAGGCCTTGACAACCGCTAGCTAACATGGCGTCTTTTTACAACCATGTGAGATAACATAATAAATTATATGTTAAAATGTAATACCTTAAAACTAGGAATGAATGATTGTGATTCTGAGCGCGTTAACTACTACTGTTATTAGTTCCGTAAGTGTATTGCATGTTTTGCTCGGGAGGTGGCGGTGATCTACCCCCGCAGTATGGCGAGATCCAGCGCTGGCCTACCGTTTGTTACCGGAGCTTTTCCCGCCCAGGTATCTCACCAGCGGGGCACATCTCCA